AAGTGAAATAAGCCAGTCACAAAAATAAAAATACATATAATTCAACTTATATAAGGTTCGTAGAGTAGTCAAATTCAGAGACAGAAACTAGAATGGGAGTTCCCAGAGGGTGAGAGAGGGAAAATGGAGAGGCAGTGTTCAATGGAGACAGAGTTTCAGTTTGGAACGATGAGGAAGTTCTGGAGATGAATGGTAGTATGGTTGTGGTTTTTGCATCCATGGAGTCAACCAACCACAGATCGGAAAGACTCAGAAAGAAAAAAATTCCAGAAAGTTCCACAAAGTAAAACTTGAATTTGTCACATACCGAGCACTGTGCTGAATCCACATGCATGAAGTGATGTGCAGGTTCAGCTTGCTGTCACCTACACGTAGATACAGGTTACATGCAATTTTATATTTATACCGTCCTATATAATAAAAGCCTAATATGCTAAGTGTCCAATCGTCTGGTCATCCATTCAACCACTCAAAGTATAATATGCTAATGATATGCTAAAGCCAGTCCACTGCTCGCTATAACATGCACTGATCACCAGGGCAGTCGCACCGACTAGTAGGTTAGCTTGCTGCTGGGATCTGGCCGATCAGGACTGAGCAAGATGGGCTGGACATGCCCTGGAGCCCTCCCACATCCCTCCCTGACCCCATCTTGCATTGGTGGAGTCCCTCAGCCTGGCCTTTGCCCTCTCACAATCCAGCCTGAGGGACAAACCACCTCCCCCCAGAGTGCAGGAACTTCATGCACCAAACCTCTAGTTTTATATTAGGGACTTGGGCATCTATGGATCTTGGTATCCTGGGCAGGGCAGGGCCATGGAACCAATCCCCAATGGATACTGAGGAACAACTGTACTTAATACCACTGAACTAACCATACACTTTTTAACCTTTTTTTTTAAGGATTAAAATGGTAAGTTTGATATTGAATTAGATGATTTTACAAAATAATTAAGTATTTGACAAAAGGATGGCAGTTTCAATTAATCTAAATAAGCTAGTAAGACTTTTAAAGAGGGGACACAACATCTTCCTCCTCTGAGGACAGAGATGGGGGACAGACAGCAGGAGGGCCTCAAGGGCCACCACAGGGACAGCACTGTGCAAGCCTCTGAGAGGAGATGACCCCCCCTGTGCCCCTCACCCCAGGGACAGACGGCAGGCAAGGGCAGGTGGGCCTGGCCTGCAAATGGTTCTTGGTGACATGTTAGTAAGTGCCACCTTCCTGCACACAAGGGGTTTCCCCGAAGATGGGGTTTCTTACCCTCTCCCACACACACAGACACACAACTTACAGACACTGCTGTGCTCCCTGGAACTTTAAGAATTCCTTATATTTCAGAAGTAATTTGGGGGAAACACAACCTCTAATAACGCCTTCATTATTTTAAAATGCTGATACCCAAGGTCAGAGGCTCCTTGGGATGCTCTCACCTTGGCTGCTGCGAACCAGATGTGCAACTCTGACCGACACTGTCAGAGGCCCTGCCCAACCAGGAAAGTCTGCCCATCATCCGTGAGTGACGGCGATTGCTTCCTAACCATCCTTCTGTTCCCTGAGTCTCCTGTACAGGGGACACACAGATGCTGCGGGCAGCAGCTTGTGAATACTAGTCATTGCACCGCCATCCAACGCCAAACCCTGCACCATGAAGCCACGCCCCCAGCTTCCAAAGCACTGTGAAGGAGCTTACAGGGTGTCTCATTAGATGTCCCCTCATTTCCTCCTCCTCCATCTCATTACTTTCCTTTCTAACTTACTTAGATTTCTATTCGTTTCTGCTGTACATATGCAAATATCCATGACTCTCTGTTCTGTACTTGACACCCCAGAGCCAGGACAGGGGACAGGACAGCACACATCCTTGGACACACAGCACAGGGTGGCCCTGGGAGGGCACAGGTGGCCTGGCTGGAGGACGTGCTGTGCTGCCTGAGTGGGAGGGGCTGGATCCCAAAGAGATTTGCTCACATACCATAGACAGCTGCTGACCTTCCCCTTGACCTCATCCAGCTCTGTGTGGGGCTGTTGTTCCGAGGGGTGGGATCGAAGCTTGTGCTTGAGACTGAACTGCTAAGGCTGCAGAACGTAGACTGAGGCCACCCAGCTCAACCCCGTTCCTCCACACCCTTCCCACACACTGCCTCTCCTCCAATTGGTGTCCAGAAGTTGTTTAAAGACTGTGTTCTCAGGATGCACAGGATCAGCCTGCCAGGGCAGCTGCCTGAGCGCTGGGCCCACCTCCCACCCCCCACTTTAGGGGAACAGGAGTGCCCAAGATTCGCTTCCGCTGAGAAATCTGCTCTGATGGGTTTGCTTCCTCCTGTAGGGCTGTGTCTTCCCTGAAGTCTTCATCACCCATTCTCATGTGCATCCCAACTCGTCAGTGAAGGAAACAATGTCTTCAATCTCTTTTCACAAGGCGCCAAATAAGTACTCCTACACTTGACCGAGTGACTAATTGCATTTTCCAAAAATGGCCGCATGAAGATCTCCCACCTCTCACGCTCTTATTACAATGTGACCAACACTCCTTCCACTGGGAGGTGGCGTCTCCTCTGTGGCTGCTCCAACCAACAGAGGAGGTGGAAGGCTGACCACAGAGAGGAAATAGCTTCCAGCCGGCTCTCTCTTTCCAGACACTCACTCAAAGGGAGCCAACCCCTGAGCTGTGAGGAAGCCCATGTGGAGAGGAACAGACCCCCAGCCACGAGCCAGCATCACCCACCAAACACGGGTGGCCAAGCCTTCAGATGACCTAGCCCCTGGTTTTGAGGCTTCCAGCATAGGCCCCACACTCTGTGGAGCAGACACAGCCACTTTTTTTTTTAAATACTAGCTATGGAGATATAATTCACATGTCATAAAGTTCACTCTTTTAAAGTATACAGTTCAGTGGTCTTTAACGCATTAACAGAGCTGTGCAGCCATCACAGCCCTCTGATTCCAGGCCATCCCACCACCCTCAATAGAAACCCTGCACCATGAAGCCACTCCCCGTACTCCTTCCCCCCAAACCTCCACAACTACCAATTCACTCTCTGCCTCCACGGACCTGCCCACTCTGGACACTTCACCCCAACAGAGTCATACAGTACGGGGACCCCTGTGACCAACCTCACTTGCCCGGCATATCCTCAAGGTTCTTCCACGTTGCAGCATGCACCAGCGCCCCCATCCTCTCCAGGCCAAACAAGTTTCCATTTACTCTCTATCCATCTTCTCATCAGCTGATGGACACGTGGGTTGTTTCCACTTTTTGGCTGTTATGTGTAATGCTACTTGAACATTCGTGTTCAGATTTTTGCATGGATATATGTTTCATTTCTCTTGGGCGTATACTTAGGAGTGGACTGTGGCTCACATGGTAACTCAGTGTTTAATCATTTGAGGAACCATCAGACTGTTTTCCTTAGCGGCTGCACCATTTGACATCTTCACCAGCAGTGTATGAGGGTGCCAAACTCTCTACATCCTCCCCAACACTTGACATTTTCTGTTTTATTCATCCTAGTGTGTGTAGATACAAGCCATCCTGACTGCCCTTCCCAAGCCCTTGTTTAACCTCAAGGAGTAATATACCTAAGAAGGACTCCTTATGGTTACTGGGCTCAAATTCATAACCAGAGTCCAGTAGCCATTTCCAGCAGACTGAGCTGCCAGCCTCCTGCACTGTGCTCCTGCCGGCTGGGTGAACCCCTAGAAAGGACTTCCTGGAATCATATTTTGTCCAATGGCCTGAGACCTGTTCCATTTGTCCAATTGGAGCTGCACAGCGATATTCTCATTTGTATATTTACTGACCAATCAAAGTGGCTCCACAACAACCATTCAGGATACATGATTCCAGCCAATCAAGACGCTGCTATGTGAACCAATCAAATTGCATAAATTTGGATCCTTCATTTTCACAAAAATGGACCAATCGGGGTGAACAGATTCTCTATACAAGCAGCCTCCCATTGTTTCAGTTTCCCCCAGAGGCTGCCTTTTCCTGGTGTGCAAAGTTCACCTGCATGTTCTCTCCTCTGACTGCACCCCAGATTGGGCACTCCTGTTGGCATTGGATTGGTGGTGGCAAACTTGTTTTTTAATTTATTGATTTTAGGAAGAGAAGAGAGATAGAACCTTCAATTGTTTCACTTATTCATACATTCATTTGTTGCCCTCTCCTACTCTAACCTACACAGCTCACAGCATCTGTCAAAGGTCTCATTCATGGCCCACTTTACTGCCCAATTCCTGCTGAGATGTGAGCCTAGCACACGGTGGTTCTAAGCATTTGTAGAAGGCAAACTCGTGAAAGCAGACACCAGGGTTTGTTTGTGAAGAGCTGGCCTAAGGTCCTGAGCTGTGCCCAGGAAGGTGAGGCGGAGCTTCTTACTGGTGTGGGTAGAGAGCGGGGGGTGCTCTGAGGAGGCTGTTATCCCAGTAGATTTAAGGACAAGAGGGACCTGCTGATGGCCCCTCCACTGGAGCTGGACTGCATTTTAATTAATGCAACACCTTAATACATTTTGATGTGTGCAAAGGGGAAAGATTGACTCAAACATCAGATGCAATTGAGACCAAAGTAGAAATCATGCCACGAGATAAAACTAGGGGCTTTTCCCCATTTTCAGAAGGACCTAAGATGGGAGGGGGCCTTCATGGAGGGGCCGGGGCTTCCCTGGCTCTCTGGTTCACATCTCACACAGGACACCCCCAATTTCAGTTCTCACTCTTGGACAAAGTGCATTGCTCACTTCTGTGTCCCTGCCCTAGAACATACTTTTTATTTTTAAAAGTATCATGCTACTACCACCACTTCACACAAAAGCCTCATTCCTTCCAAACAGCGGCTAACTCTTGCCCTAGCCCGTCAACTAGAACAATGTTATCTAACTGCTGTGGCACTGACATCATGGGGAAAGCAGCCACCAACGTGAAGCTCAAAGCCTGCAAACTGGAGCAAGCCAATACTGCCAAGCATATTCCTTTAAGAAAAAGTAAACTTTACCAGTGGCTGTAGCGAATGGCTATTGTCAACCCAAGCTGTAATTAAGAGAGAAATACACATTAAATAATATCCAGAATATGCTGAAGTCACCAGAAAATTAATTTAATTTGGTCAATAATTTTTAAATGTTTCCTATTGTGCCCATTGGCGAGTACTTCATAAATAACACATTTTAATAATAGCTCTTCAGTTTCAACTTAGCTTTTAGGGGATAATCACATTTTGAAAGGGTCTTTATGAGGCCTCCAGTATTTCACTGTGGACTGAACAGAAGGCATCTCTCCTCAGGAAAGACTTCCAGAACAGGGCTCTTTGTTTTCCTTAAAAATAAATAAATAAATAAAACCTTCTTTATTGAGGCATAATTAACAAATAAAGCTGTACACATTTAAAGTGTACAAGTTAGTGATTTGATACGTATATACAATGTGAAACGATTACCACACGTTACAGTCTTCAGCAACACAATTATCTGTGTTCGCTGAGAACCCTTAAGATCTGCTCTCAGCAACTTTACAGCACGTAATACAGTTTGTTGGCCATAGTCACATGCTGTACACTAGATCCCTGGAACTAACTCATTTAAAACTGGAAGTGAGTATCTTTGACCAGCATCCCCCCATTTCCCTACCCCAGCCCCTAGCAATCACCATTGTACTCTCTGTTTCTATGAGCAAAACAAGGTTCTCTCAATTCTTGAGACAAAGAACTTCAGGATAGGACTGCTCTGTGGGCTGCTTCTGACGTTTGCATTAGAAGAGGACCATGTCCTTTGTCCCCCGTACCCGCGGGACTGACCACCCGGACCAGAGCCCCCCTGAGGGCTCACTCTGACTCCATAAGCTAGATGCCAACAGGCCACAGTTTTAAGGACAGCAAGTCAGCGAGGCTGCAAATCACATGTGACATCAAGAAGCGAAACCATAAAAATTCTACAAGACTCCATAGGCAGCAAAATAGCAGACATATGTCATCGCAATATCTTTACCAACATAGTTGCTAGGGCAATGGAGACTAAGAAGAAAATAAACAAATGGGACTGCATCAAAATTAAAAGCTTCTGCACAGCAAAAGAAACCATCAACAAAACAATAAGAAAGCCCATTGCATGGGAGAACATATTGGCCAATGATATTTCAGATAAGGGTTTAATCTTCAAAATTTACAGAGAACTCATACAACTTAACATACGGAAGATAAACGACCCAATAAAAAAAATGGGCAAAGGACCTAAATAAACATTTTTTTGAAAGAGGACGTTCAGAAGGCCCAGAGGCATATGAAAATATGCTCAGAATCACTAATCATCTGAAAGATGCAAATTAAAACAGTAATGAAGTAACATTTCACACCTGTCAGAATGGCTATCATCAATAAATCAACAAACAACAAGTGCTGACAAAGATGTGGAGAAAAAGAAACCCTCATGCACTGCTGGTGGGAATACAGACTGGTGCAACCACTATGGAGAACAGTATGGAGTTTCCTCAAAAAATTAAAAATGGAACTCCCATTTGACCCAGTAATTCCACTTCTAGGACTATATCCCAAGAAATCAGAAACACCAATCAGAAAGGATATATGCACCCTTTTGTTCATAACAGCACAATTTATAATACTTAAGATTTGGAAACAGCCTAAGTGCCCATCAGCAGGTCAATAGATTAAAAAAACTGTGGTATAGCTACACAATGGAATACTACACTGCTATGAAAATAAATTCTTAACCATTTACAATAGTATGGATGGAACTGGAGAGCATTATGCTAAGCACAATAAAACAGTTGGAGAAAGATAAATATTACATGATCTCATTTATATGTGGGATATAATGACCAACATAATTTGATGAACAAGAATAGATCCAGAGAAAAATGGCAGGGGAGGAGGGTGGTTAGAGAGCAACCAAAGGCTTGTATGCATGCATATTAGCATAACCAATGGATATAGAAACTGAGGTGGGGGGAGCTTTCCCAGGGAGGCAATGGCTGGTGGGGAGGGGTTAAATTGGGGGAAAAGGAGACATATGTAAAACTTTAGACAATAAATAAATAAATTTTTAAAAGAATTAAAAAGAGAGAGAGAGAAAGAGAGAGAGAGAGAGAGAGAGAGAGAGAGAGAGAGAGAGAGAGAGAGAGAGAGAGAACGTGTGTGCTCTCGATCATGTGGCTCATTTGGTTGGGCATCGGTTGCTGGTTCCATTCCTGGAGATGTGCAGGAAGCAGCTGATGGATGTTCCCCTCTCACATCAATGTTTCTCTAACCTTCTCCCTTTCTTTTTCTCTAAAACAAAACAAAACTAAAAAAAGAGAAAGTGTGCATGATCACTGGACACAGCACCAATGAGGGCCCAGGTGACCCAGTGATTCCTTCTCTATTCTGGAGGTGTTGTGAAAACTTCTCAGGCATAACTAGGGGTCCAGTCACAAGTCCTGGGCCTGGCCCTCAGCTCCTTCACACAGAGTCAGTTGTGGACCATGGAAAAGTCAGTCCAAGTCCTAGCTGGTTTGGCTCAGTGGATAAAGCCTTGGCCTGTGAATTGAAAGGTTTTAGGTTTGATTCCAGTCAAGGGAACATGCCTGAGGTGCAGGCTTATGGGGGACATCCAGGAGGCAGCTGATTAATGATTTTCTCTCGTCATTGATGTTTCTATCTCTGTCTCCCTCACCGTTCCTCTCTGAAATCAATAAAAAGATAGATTTATTTTTTTTTTTAAAGTCAGGTTAACCATTTCTACTGCTAACTGCCTAACAGGAAAAACTATCCTAATATATATATATAAAAAAAAAAAACCAGGGTCCTTAACAACCAACTGAAGGCTCGACTAAACCCCGGAAGTCAGTCCTGCAGTCAGTGCTGGGCTGTGGATTAGGCCTGGAGTGAGGCCTGAAGAGAGAGGCAGGGTCTGATCTGCAGCCTTCATGGCAGCTGTTGATCAGCCGTTGCCTTTCTCTTTCACTCCTGGCTTCACTAGCAGCCAAACCTCTGTTTCTCTCCTGGCCTCCACAGGAGATCAGCTCCACCTCTCTGATCAGGCCTGAAGATAAACCTGGGGATGCTAACTGGCATAAAAACTGACCAATCAGAACCAAATCTGGATGAACTGTGAGGAGCCAATGGTTGCCTAGGAGGCAGAGCTTTTGATGCTAATTAGCATAGAAACCAACCAATCAGAACCAATTGGCTGGCAGGGGAGGGCAGTTGGGGGTGAGATCAGACAGCAGAGGAGAGCAGTTCAGGGTGATCAGGCAGGCAGAGACAGTTACGGGCAATCAGGCAAGCAAGCAGTTAGGAGCCAGTGGTTCCAGATTGCAAGAGGGATGTCCAATTACCACTTAAGGCCTGATCGCTGTGGGAGCAAGATCAGGCCGTCAGCAGAGGGCAGTTGGGGGTGAGATCAGGCTGGCAGGAGAAGGCAATTATGAGTGATCAGACAGGCAGGCAGAGGCAGTTAGGGGTGATCAGGCAGGCAGGCAGGTAGGTGAGCAGTTAGGAGCTAGTGGTCCCAGATTGTAGGAGGGATGCCCAATTGCCAGTTTAGGCCCGATCCCTGTGGGGGCAAGATCAGGCCAGCAGAAGAGGGCAGTTTGGGGCCCTGTGGGATCTGGCCTAAACCAGCAGTTGGACATTCCCCGATTGGAGTGTGTGCAGGCTGAGCTGAGGGAACCCCTGCTCTGTGCATGAATTTTGTGCACCGGTCCACTAGTATATAATAACTGCCTCTCTATATAAGCATTTATAAAATGTTGTCACTTTTCAAAATCTCATTTTTAAGTTAGTTTTTGGAACTTTGAACATATTTTATCATGTAAAAAAGATTAATAAACCATGACAACAACTACATGAGTTTCATTCAACCACTAGCACTTGAATGATAGAATCACTAGTTTAAGGAACTCACAGCAGTTAAAACCTCAATCCTCACTGATAATATTTCCAGGTGAAGAGTCTACCTAACTTTTAGGTTAATATAACCAAACACATCATTGCTGATTTCTTTTATGTCACCCCCACAGAGGTATGGGTGACTTCTGAGGCACTATCCTGGGTCCTGCAAGATGACAAGAGGGTCCCCAGGTCATGGGGAAGATAGTTAGAAGTAAAAAAATAAAAATAAAAGCACAATGACTCTGTCCATGAGGCATGCAAAGTCCCCCAGCTACTGAGAGACCTGCTCAGCTCCAGAATAACCCTCCGCTGCTGTCATCCCCGCATCCACCCCAGTGCAGAACCAACAACGATGGGCCATCAGCCATCTTGGAGACTGGCCTCTGCTTTATAAAACACCTATCTCAAAGTGAAGCATGAAATATACCACGAGCTGATGTTGTAGCACACTCACCTGAATTTATATACAATCTTTCTCAACTAAGCTTATATTTCCTCTGCGACTTAGGCAAAAAGCAGAGGAAGTTGCTTTGGGACAATCAAAACTTTAAAGAACAAGGAGGAAACTATTTGGGGAATGAAATACAAACAGAATCTACAGCCAAAGGTCAGGAGAGCAAATTATAGATCTCACGTGCTGGGTAATTCTTATGTTTCCTGGGGTTAAGAGTTCTGGCTTACAGTTAGGCTAATTGTAAGATAATTTTACCAACAGCATATTTGGATAAGCTTTGGAGGACTGTTTAATTGGCGGCTTTTCCACAGCTGAGAGGCGAGCCCGTGCTGGGCAGGGAGGACGTGGCGCTGTACAGACAGCCCGGGAAGACCAGGGTGGGCTGTTCGGTGGCAGTGTGCTGGGTAAGCAGGGCTTGCCAGTGAACCCCTCACCAAGGTGAATTTCATTCAGCATTATTAGTGATTTCCTTGCTTTTGAATCGAATATGTTTTATGCCATTTTTTAAAGGACACCTCTGTAAGGAAGAAAGTGTGAATCTTGGAACCTTGCAGGCCGGCCAAAGCACATGCAGGCCTCTGTATACACAGGCCTGGGGCAGCCGCACCAGGAACCAGGTGACCAGAGCCCATGCAAAGGTGCCAGTGCCACATGGGAACCAGCTTACAGGTGCGTGGGAACACAGCATTCCCA